GGTGAATTTGAAAAAAAGGATTTTGTTTGATGTAAAGACGTTTCGCAGTTTATTACCTCGAATTCTTCTTCGAACCTAAACAACGATTTATGGAAACGAGAAAGGATGGCGGGGATTTGCAACTGCGCAGCGTACTAACGCACTTTTGTTCAAAATAAAAATCTCGTCCGTGACCTCTCTCGAAATTACTCAATAAAATAAATTTATCGTTCATCATTGAAGTATATCTTGTGAAAATTGAAATTAAAAGCATTCGTTTACAACATAAAATCTTTGGTGATAAGTTATCACTTGTGGACGATTTTCAGTTCGAATCCAAAGTAATGATAATAACAACAATGTCAAAGGATTTAATAAAAGCAATAAGGACAAAAGAAATGATTTAGGAGTAAAATGAGAAATATATGTGAATGATGCGAATAAAGATGAATAAAAATTTACAGCTAGTATTATCATTGTCGCATTCTTCTAACAATTCTCATCATTACTGGTTAAACTCTCTCCACTGGCTACAAGGGTAAGACATCTCCAAGCTATTCGATCCGGCATCATCGTCGACAGTAATAGAAGCTGTTCTTCTTTCCATCGTCCATATCGCTGATCCACCAATACATTCTTTCCTGATTGTTTTAGTCCAGGTCTTGATTGATCTATCTCGCCTTTGACGCCATCCATCCGTGTCGTAATTTTGCCTTTCACTTTTTGGCCATTTGGGATTTTAGTGGGTCTGAGATACTTAAAATCTAGCTCTTCGTCAACCGCTAATGAATTGATAAAAGTAAAGGTTTATCAGTTTTTATATGACGAAAAGATTATCGTTTTATTTACATTGATCCTGAGCCCGATTTTTGCTGCAGCTGTTGACACATTGTTTATTTGCATTTCTTCACAATTGTCAGCAAAAAGAACTACATCATCAGCGTATTCCAGATATAATATTATATTATAGACTAATTTGTGCACCTCTCGAGTCCCAACAAACAATGTCCATCATTTTCCAGCCTATCGCATAATTGAATAGTGTTGGGGAAAGAAGGCAGTCTTGACACCAGTTCTTATTTCGAAAGTCTGTCAATTCCTCATATACACAGATCTGTGCTGATGTACACTGATAAAATGCCTTCATGAGGCGAATGACCTTGTCTAAAACCACCATATTCCATTATTCTCTAAAGCTTCGCTCTGTTAATTGAATTAAAGACAGCCACAAAGACCATGAAACATGTAACGATGGCAATGATATTTGGAGCGATGTTCCAATACTCTTCTTAGCATGAATATCTGGTCAATAACAGCCCATGAATAGCACATTAGCAGCCCAGTCTGAATGCTGCTTGCTTAGGGTGTATCCTGTCATAACTGTCTATTCGGCAGGAGAGAATCAAAAATTTTATCCGAGAAAATTTTGTCTTGTAAACTGAATTCTCGATAGACTGATTTTTTTCACTGTCTTATTAAAATTTCAAAAATGAAAAAACAACGTTAATAATGTATTTATTTTATATAGTTATACAAAGAAAACACATTAAAATATTGCATTAAAAAATTAATGATTATCAAAAGAATTGATAATGAAGTGAAGGAGTTGGTGTGGTTAGACTGCATGCTGCCACCGATTCCCGTAAGTTAAAGTAGGTAAACTTCTTTTTCTCGCACGAAAAATCCTGGTGACTGTATAAATTTTTGTCTCCACTAATATAAGTATCGCCTTATTTTGATTTTAATATTTCCTGAATTAATCGTGCTTAATTTTAAGCAATTGAAATTATATGCAAATGATTGCTGTGAATGCACTTATTTTTAAATTCTAACTGATTCGTTGGCACCATCTAATAATCACTGGAGACGATCAGTATATCAGTATATCAATTTTCGATTCAAATCAACTCAAACTGAACATTAAAGGAGAAATTTTTAATTTTCAGTTCTATTTAATTATTAAAAAGGAAAAATGTGGAAAAAATGGGAACTGACTACTATTAGTCTAAATCTTTGTTCCTAAACAATTTCTTATTAAAATCGTAATTCCCATAAATGCAGCTAAAAATGGGAAAAATGGGAAAAAATTTAAATTCTCTCAAGTGGAAAATGGAAAAATGGAAAATCAATATTAACAGAAATATCAGAAATCAGAAATCAGATTATCAGAAATATTTATATGGAAAGGACAATCGGTTAGGACTAATAATATATCACCGATTCAGTGATAAAATATTGGTACAGCTTAAATAATTACATTTTTTAACGTTTCTATATCATTAAACCCATTCGGTTCATTTGAAATGAATCAAAATTTCAATTTTATTTAACTCAGCTCAACAAAATTGTTAAAATTTCATTTCTTCTCATATGTATTTTTAATTTAATTGGTTCCATTGAGTTTTAAGGTGATGCAGTTTTGCTCAAAATATTAAAATAACAAGCAATGCCAACGAATTATATATGAATTATGAGCTGAATTTGATAAAAATTTGACCAATAGATAAATTCAGTGAAAGCAATGACGAACTATAAATTAAATGCATGAAATATGCATATAGAATATAATCCGAAATAGATATTTGAGTATTAAAATGCTCGTTTTTATAAATTTAATGGATCAATTCGAGCTGAGTTCATCCAAAAAATAACCGATTTATCAAACAAATTTAACGAATTAAACTGACCATTAACTGAAGAAAAATCTAAAATTTAAATTCGACTAATTTCTTTCAATTTTTTTAAAAGAATTTATTATAACGATTATATTTATACAATATTTATGAAATCTTCAATTATACAGCATTTGTATTTTAAAATTCTCTCAAGATTTAGAATAGAAGGGACGCAAACAAGTTTTCAAGTTTTCATTACTCGGGTTTTACTTTTAAAAGAGGTTTATCGCTCTGAAGGGACAGCAATTCCCAAGCAAGTTGCTTTCAGTATGCCACCAATTAAGCCAATAGCATCAATTAGATTTCTTTAATTAGATTGTCCCAGAAATAGCAAATTTCGTTATTTACTGCAAAAGGATTCTATGATAATTTTGTGATAAATCTATTTTGGTCGAAATTTCGATAGTTAAAAAAAATTCAATCGCTTCTATACCTCATATACAGTTGTATTTTTTTTTACAAGGTCACACTACAAAATAGAATAAAAGAGTTTTCAAATAAATGATGAGGAAAATGGTTCAGTTACCCACTGAATTATCTGAAATCCACTGAGATTCTAAATATTATTAGGTGTGTTTGCTAATCAAATGAAAGTTCATCTACTAAAACAATCACTTAAAATGGCAAATTTTTCATGACCAATGAAGAGAGATGGAGTAGGAAAAATGTTGCTGCAGGTAACCCCGAAGGATGAACGAAAAAGAGGGACCAAGGAAGAGGGAGAAAAATTTTAGGAAACTATAAAAAAATTAATTACCAGCGGTGAACTTTATATATATTGCTAAAGTTATTTTAAATTGTAAATGTTGGTAAATCTGCGAATTTTTAAACGATTATAAAAATTATGCCCAACTAAGCCACTGATGTTGAATCATATGTTGACTGCAATAAGCGCAAGCAGTCCTCTTTCCAGTATCTTTTTGCATTTCATCTTCTTGAAAGAAGTAAGCCTATCATTAAAAATGAAATCAACACTGGCTACTATTCGTCTAAATCTTTGTTCCTAAACAATTTCTTATTAAAATCGTAATCCCCGTAAATGCAGCTAACTGGAAATGATGAACGGTTAGAAAAACGAATAAATGTGTAAATATATAATAATAATAATAAATGCAACCCCATTCTCCTTCGTTTTCTAACGGCACATAGCACATTTCCCTATTTGTCAGGTTTATTGACTTCTAAGATGAGATTCTTGAATGATAAAACCCCCCGTAAATGCAGCTAACTGAGATTCTTCTGCCAAGAATGCCTGAATTTGATTACATATTTCAGCACAATTTGAATATAATTTGAATCAAAAAATCAAATGCAAACATCCCGTTGAATCTCATTTTTGGAAAAAAATATGCACTGCAACAGATTAATCCACCTTCAAGCCAAAAAATCGTATTTGACACTGGCATATTGCTGTCGCAAACAGACTGATCTTAAGCAACCATAACCCAGCATTTCTTCGATTTTCGAAAAAGTATTCCATACCTTCTGCAATTTGGCCAACTCTAATGATTATGAGGATGAGGCCTATTTGGTCAAAAAGACACTTAGAGGCAGAAATTTAAATCAGGCTCAGTCACCAATCAAGTTCATTTTTAAAGTTTACGTGTTCTAAACGAGATGAAATCGATTTTGCATTTTAAAACCGTTTCACCTTTCACTTCACATTTCCATAAATTTCATAAATAAATTTCCAAACATTCCTATCATCACAACTTTTCATTTCATGAAGTTTTAGGAATTTGCAAAATAAAGATACTTCATTTTTCACAACATCGGAATCCTAAAAAAGTTTCTGTTTACAATTTCCAATTGCCTTTATTTATTATATAAATAAATATAAATATAAATATAGCGAAGAATAAAAATTTCAAAAATGGCTTAGAATAAACAAAATCGATTATCTACAGCGAAAATTTTATAATTATAAACAAGAAAATAATGCAAGAAGAATGTAAATTCAAAACAAATTCATTTCTAAAAAAGGCCTATTCTGGAAAAACGATAAAAGATGATATGCGATTCATTATGGAGAACGATTAAAATTGGGAAAAATTATTTTTTAGTGAAATAAAATTATTGAAACAAACGGATTACGAGCTAAATCAACGAAACTGGAAAGTGAAACCAAATTCACAGAAGAAAAAAATGGAAAAAAATATTACTGAAATACCTAAAATTATTTCAAAAAAAATTAAAAAATTAAAACAAGAAAAAACAGAAATTACTTATAACCAAAAACTATTAAAAAACCAATAAAGATATCAGAAAAATAAAATAACCTGCTTTTAGGTTTGAAGAAAATTGGATTATCATTCGAGAATTATTAAAAAAAAATCAGAGGAATTATTAATGCGTTTCACTAAAATCTTTTGGACCTTCACAAGAGTTCTCTATAGCCTTTAATGTTGATTCATCCTCCTCTTCCTTTTTTCCAATAGTTGACAAGGTTTGACTATCAATATCAAAGTGCCCCAAAAGAGAAGCCATCGCATCTGGGTTTTCACGAAAATCCACCTTCAATTAAAAATAAGTGGGTTAAATGAATGAATGAAACATTTGAAAAAAATTTGAATTCAATATTCAAATTTTCTTCTAATTTATTTCAAAAACTATTATATAATTTCAATTTGAAATTTTCAAAAGAAGTACGCTGGAATAAAATGCAAAAAAATACCTTAATATTTTCAGGCATTACATTTCCCTTTATTTCCTCACCTTCATATTCCATACTTTCGCTATCATCACCATAATCTGAATTTTCCCTTGAAGTTTCAGGCGTTTGTAAGTCGAAAAAGCGATAAAGACTTTTTTTCCAAAGACGAACCTAATTAAAACGTCCAGCATATAATTAAAAAACAATGTTTTTTTTATTAATATTATTATCCATATCACATATTTTAAAAAAAGATTACGAGAAGAAAATTGTACGAATTTTTGCCTTTCTGAATGAGACTTGGATTAACTTTAAAATTAAAAATCAAATTAAAAATTTTAAGCTATTAAATTAATGCAAAATAATTCAAAATTAACCTGCGCATCCCAAGATCGACGAGAAAAGTTTAAAAATTTATTTGGAGTTCGAGGATGTATACCTTTTACTCTTGAAACTTTTGGCACTTCAGTTATGTAACGAATGTATATTGGTTTTTCTTTTGCTCTTCGAATTTCCTTAAATGATGATATTTCGGTTGGAGAAATAAAAATATTAAATACGATAATGAATATTTCTACGACAAATTTAATATCATTTCGAGATTTAACTAAATCGACCAAAAAACAATAAAGGATTTTTGCTACTGAAACAAGTCAATAGCTTTTACTTTCGTTCTTCTAGCAAGAATTTTTTCATCGTTACACCATCCATTCTTTGGTTCTTTCCATCCCTCTTTCACATCATGAGGACATCGTGAACAGTTAGAATCAACAGATGAAATACTAAAATGAATGAGATAAATTTACATGAACTAAAGAAAAGAACTAAAGAAAAGCTGATGATTAATACTTACATACTTTAAAAAATACTAAGCATACTTTAAAAAAAAAACTAGTATATAACATTATAAGAAAAACAAAATTTCCTCTCTGTTCTGCTGATATTTGACGGAGACTTGAGATTTCTCTCACCAGAAAACCTTCGCACAATTTTACAAGGTTTCCCAGTGTCACTTTGCGTAGGCGTTGTGTCTCGTCTAGAGCGTTTTCGAGCAAATCGATTCTTTCCCTTAACACCAGCTCTATGTAATCGCACGAAAAAAATAATCTTTCAATATGATATCATATCCTTCTGGAATTTAACGAAATAGCTGAACCTCAAGTAATTTCTGTCAATGTAATTAATTGAATAAATGGAATTAACGGCATTAAGATTAGAATAATCTAAAAGTTCGATATTGCTTTTCATATTTTTTTGCTTATTAAAGAAAAAATAGCAAATGCTGCGATTGTAAAAAAATTCAAGGCAGTTTTTCAAGAAACAAAAGGATCATTCAACTGCTAAGATATAAAAAATTTTCAAAAAATAGATTAATAGATAAAAAATTGATTGCAAACTTTATTTTCTCGAAGAAAAAATTGATTGCAAACTTTATTTTCTCGAAGATGATTTGTGGTACGAGTCATAACTTCACCTAACGGCAAAAATTTAGATGGCCTATAGGAAGATGCAAAACGTTCTTCCCGTTTCGATCTAGCATGGCGACTCGAAGACTGTTGAGTGGAGTCTTCTTCACGTATACGTTCGAATCTTAATTTTCTAGCAAATTTTTTATTTTAATGAAAAAAATATTTGGAAAGCAAAAATAAAAGATTCTTCTAAAAACAAAAATATTAATTAAAGGTTAAGAAAATTACAGGATTTTGCAAACTAATAATTTTTCTTTAAATGCAAATGAGATGACAACAAACTTCGCTATAGATGAAACTTTTCTAGGTAATCGCAATTTTCTTTCACGAATTTCTGCTGAATTCGCCTTAACCTCAGCAATTTCCATTTCCATTTTTTCATGCACTTGCTTCATATACTTTCTTTTAAATGGTACAGACTCACAAATCTCAGCAACATTTTCGAGCTCTGCCTTTGATAATTTGAATGCAATCTTTTCATTTGAGTCCGAATCCTTTTTTTTATAATGACTTGTATATAAGTTAGATCTTCGATTGTCTACCTCTTCTTCAACTATTTCAGCCCAAGATTTATTTAGCTGGACTTCAGGTAGATCGAAACTAGATTTTAATCGTTTTCCCTAAAAAAGAATTGGTATACATAATGTTCCTTAAAATCGAAGATATTCCTTAATTTATTTAGATATTTAACAGAACAATAAAATTTCTGCAAACAATCATTTTATTGGCTTCTATATTTTAAGTAAAAAGCAAAAAAAAATCTTAAGAATCAGGAAATTTGTATAAGAGTTCTAAAGTTACTTTTAGGTTGTCTAAATATGTAAATTTATGAAGAAAAATCATCTTATTGATAAAATTAGATTCATTAAATCATCGCTTAGCGCAATCGCAATCTCTATCGTTATGAATATACAGTGAAATTATAAAGATCAATAAACGAGGTCAACTGACACTCGCAACGACATATACAAAAGCTCGAACACCGTAAAAGCTATAGCACTTTTATATCAATCCATCAACACTGCTGATAGAACTAATTTTACCTCTAATATTTTTCATTTATATCCCTAAAAAATGATTCTATTAGAATAAATTGCACCAAATTAAAATACTCTACGAAATCAGGAGCTTTAGTAGTTCCAGTAATTCAGAAATTCCAAAGGGAAAAAAGATGTCCACAGGATAAAGAATAACTGTTTAATAGCATAAAATAAATCGTTGAGTTAATTAAACATTAGATTTCATGGGTCTCGTCCAGATTTAAAGGACCAGAAAAACCTAGCAACGAGAGATTAAATCACATCTTCTTCTAATATGTTAAATGAAATATCCTGGATAAGAGTAGTTAGAAATGGGTCCGGTTCTTTGGGTCGAAACCTTTATGAAGCCACAAATTACTACAACAAGGAAAGACGGCGTCTGCAGTTCGCTCGACCTTACTCTATGATTGCAAGGCATGGTCAGTGGAGAATATTGAGAAGGATATTAAGATCTTTCTTTGACCAATCATGTCTAAAAATAATTTTAAAAGTCGTGCAGAGCGGACAGAATCTCATATGACTGCATCCAAGAGTTTGGAGTCGGGACGAAGAGTTTGGAAACTTCTTCTCATTGTAATCAGCTAGTCTGATCCAGCTGATCCAGCCTAGCCAGTAATGGTGACAGCTGTAGAAGAGAAACTGATGAAAGAATTAAAAAGCTAAATCGAAACAAAATCTTAAAATTATAAAAAAATAAAACTCGATAAATTTTGCAAACCACTGATGAATTATCGCCCATTTCAAAAAATTTTTCTTCTGTTCGATTCGATTTTCCTGATAAATTAACGACTTTTGCCTGCGGTAGTTGGGTTATTTCCGATTTCATTAAAGGTAAATCGGCATCTAAAAAAAAAGATCACGCGGTTTATAAATTTTATATTTTATAATTTTAAATTATGAATTTCTAAATAATTGAGTAATTTACGAATTATTCGTTAAAGCTTCGTTAGTGATTAATTCATTAGGAACAGACGGAAAGCCGAAAATAATGAATTTTTTCGATGCCTATTACTTGGCTAACAAATGAGCAGTTTTTTCTAGAATGTTACTTAAAAAGCATTGGCACGATAAGAATGCGATATACTTGTCTCAGATTACAAAATTATTGTCAATTCTTCTAACACTGATGACAATCCATATGTCTCGAGAGAGGCAATAACTCTGCGTATCGAATAACTATGTATTGCTCTTCAAGTGTTGAGTTTTAATGATACTTATTGGATTGCTTAATTTTTAAAGGGAGAAATTATTTTCACCTATAACTGCAACGTAATCAAAAGTTTACTCTATGAGTGATTGCCGAACAGGTGCTCTGCTCGTTTTAATCAATAAATCAAATTAATAAAAGGCATTTATTAATTTGATTATTATCTTATAGTTTTTATTATTATATTTATTATTACACAAAATACCATTGTTATTAGTAATAGTATTATCTTCTGCGAATCAGATAAGTTTTTTTTCTTAAAATCTTTATTTTTTTAAATTACCTTTAAATTTTTTTTTTTTAAATTACCTCTATTTTTCCTTTTTTATTTAATTACCTCTATTTTAAATTACCTCTATTCTTTATTTAATTACCTCTATTATTTGTCTCTGACAGGAGTAAACCCACCATGATATCAAAAATCCTGGCGGTTGCTGGGGATCCACCTGTGTCTCTATTCCCAAGTGATTCTATGGTAAAATGGTCAGGTCTCTTTGACGTCCGCGTCTTCCTATGCTCATGATACTTCTGAACCGGTGGTACATGCGATAAATATACGATCCAGGCGTAATAATAATAATAAGTCCAAGGATGGAACAGAAAATTTGCTGGGAAATCGAGATAATTATTTTAAAAACCGTCAAGGGGGACGAGATCCTATCCGCGAACACCTTGTGCCGGCTATAGCTGCTTAGAAGATCGCTCATAAATATATTACAAAGCCAAGCGATCACTGCCACACCCTCTCGAAATACGGCGTGGATGTGGCTTGTTCGTCGGAGGTCCGTCTACCTCATGTCGACTGTCGACTAATTATTGAACCTGGTTCCGATATTGGCTATCCGATATTCCGATATTAACAAAGATATTACCTATACCACTGTGGTGTCTCGAATCAGTCAAGGAGAAATGGCATGGCGATTATCATATCTGAAAAGGCTCGATCCGTTCTGATTGAATGAAAGCCAGCAAATGACCGTATGGCCTATGCGCGCTTCAAAGAAAAATTTTGCAATATTTCGAGTGCATATGCTCCAACTTTATGTGCAGATGATCGCCATAAGGATAAGTTCTATACTAACCTTCAACTCATCTCTACTGAGAGGTAACATGGTCATAATCGAGGGAAAATGGAATGCGCACATAGGTCACGCTGTCATTACAAGGAATTCGGTAAACGGCAAATATGTCAAGAGTCCACTGCGCCAATGGAGAACGCCTTCTTCGTTTTGCCAAACAATAAGAACTCTTTGTTACTAATACATGCTTTCAGTATCGGAGAAAATCTATCACGTGGAACTCTCCAGATAACCAATATTCCAATTAGATTGACTATATATTAGTCAGTTACTGCTGGAAGAATTCTGTACTTGATAGTCGTTCTTATGGCGCTAAAACTGGTAAACGCCGTGGATCAGACCATGCTTCGAATCAAGATTTATATAAAACTGACAACTCGTAAAAGGCAAAGTATCCCGAGATCTTTCAACTATCTCAAATTAGAAGATCAGGGAACAATAAGAGCATTCCAAACTCAGTGAAATGAACGCCAATGACATCTCTGGAACGGCGAATAAATACTGTGCCAATTAAAGATCCTTGCAAAAATTAGCCACCTCCACACTAGAATATACTAATATAACGCTAGATGGGTGCAGGAGGTCGTGACATTCGAGTGCTTTGAAGAATTACAACGACAACATGGATGGAAAGCGCTGTTGGAGCAATATGGCCTTGAGATTAGAGACTGCGGCTCAGACATGTGATAATAGGAAACGCTGCCTCATAAGATGGAAAGAATTTTTCGAGGTCAAACTTAATCATGCTATCATGCGCCATCTATTAACCCGGATATAATTGATTCGCCCGTCGAGCCTTTTTGCAACTGTGATCCGCCAACAGAAGAGGAAATAATCTCTTAATTCATAAACTTAAGACCAATAAATGATTATTTATAATTCATTTTCAACAAGTGTATTCATGTATGGCAAAAGGAAATAAAAAAAAAAATAATACCAAGAAATATAAGACTGAAGCAAAACATTTTTGCTTCCAATTTCTAAGAAAGCTGACAGAACGTATTGCGACAAGGAGTCAGTCTACTAAACATCTTCGGAAAAATTAAAAATTTTCGCTTCCCTTCTGCTAAATAATACGAGATAGAAGAATGCGTCCTAATCAAACTGGATTCAGACTGGGACACGGTTGTGCTGACCAGATGTTTACGCTAAGAAGGACGCTGGAACATCGCTTCAAATATTGCAAACTCATCGTCACTTGTTTTATTTTACATCTGCCTCCGATTCGGTAGGGTAGCACTCTGGGAAGTAATGAATGTGACGGTGTTCCAGAGAAGACCATTCGGCTCACAAAGGCATTTTATCAGCATACCCTGGTACAGGTCTGTGTATATGAGGGAAGTGACATACCCCTTTGAAATAAAAATGGTGTCCGTCAGGGCTACGCCTTTTCCCACAATATTCAACTATGCGATCAACTGGATAATGGGAATCGCTTGCCGGCACAAGTAATGATAAGGGCTTTATAGAAGATGAAGAAAAAGAATTCTTGAAAACCGAATAGTTTTTTGAGGCAAAAGATTCGCAATTTATTTTCCTGAAAAAAATGTCTCTGTTATTTATCTCTCATTTCCCAACCTTTTATTCCACACTATTTTCATTTAAACTAATTCAAGCAGATTCGCAAAAAATTGCCTCTCGAAAGTGATTCATCCGACGTCGGCTCGGCTGATATTCTAACTCTCGTGTGGCCCTATTCAACGTTTCTTGGCCCCATCTTTGCTGCCATTTCAATCAATAAAAATCAATAAAAATAACGAAAAGAGAACGAAAGCGCAAAGCAGTAGTCCATCGCATTTAATAAAAATTATCAATTACCGATTTAAATATTCATAAAATTCATTTATCAAATTAATTTTATTAGAAATTTCCCAAAAAATAAAAGACGCAGTGGACCCATACAAACGGTTATAGAACGGTTATCGATCGACCAGGCGTCGGCAAGATCAAAGGCACCATATACCACGAAAAACTACGAAAAAAAGTTGGTACTAAGCGATGTCCCCGAACAACCGAAAATTAAACCGCGCAAATTGATTAATTAAATTTAAATTCACTTTTTGGCGCGTAAAAATTCGTTTGCAAGTTTTTTTAAAAATAAAAATATACATAAAGGTTTGCAATAAGAAAAATTAGAAGAAATCTTCTTTAAAGCTAAAAAGTTGGAATTTTAACAAAAAAAGATTTTCTATTGTAAAATTGAAAAATTGTAAATTCTTAAAGAATTTTGTGCTGTTATTTCTGTAATAAAATTTAGAATTTTGGAACGATTCCAAGTTTTTTGTCCGTTTTTGATGAAAAATTTTGCTAACCTTTGTATTCTCTCTTCAATTTTATCTTTCTGAAACTCAAGTTTCGCTGAAGTTTCGCAGCTTCCTAACTATTACAACATTACATCACTACATCACTATTTGTCGATTTCCATCGCTACGGCGCTCATTGCCTGCATTTTAGTACAACCATTGTGGGTTGCATAAAATGTGATGGTTTTGATGGTTCTTTCGGAAGCATTGGGTTAGTACCAACACCTTAAGGATAAGCATCCGCTTAAGAGAAATAGAAGTATATCTGTGTACCGAGCGTCGCGATTCCGCTTTAAATACTGCATTTACTCCAATCAAAAAATAAGATTTGGTAGTCAAAGCAGCCGAAGTGCGGGCAGATTGTAAACAGCTGATAGCAGATGGCAGTAATAATAGTTTGATTAGGAATCTGCACCTTATTTTTATTCTTCAGTCAATTATTTTCAAATTGCTCATGAAAAGCTTAAACTTCACTCGATTTTTACGCATCAAATTGATTAAAATAGCATTGAATTGCGGATGAATCAAGTCTAATATTGGGAACTCAGTAGGGTTGCTTTCGGGCGAGCTGAGCTTATAAAAAATGTGTAAGACGGGACTCGTGGCCATGGGCACCACTGTAGAATAAAGTGGAACGGAAAATCTTCGCCTGAATTCAAATATATAATTGGCCATATAATTGGATGAATTAAATTGAAGTGGAGTTGTAAATAAAATATTTTTAGTTAATTTTCAAAAAGACAAATTTATACTTGGGCACAAATATGTTTTGCGACGAAGTATGTCTTTCATGGTTGGGTGCTCGCGCATTTCGTATATAATGCTGATATTGTCAAGTACTTTGGCTGTCTTGGCTAATATTAAAGCACTGCTTTGACTGGATCACCAGCTGATTGGATCGTTAGCCCATCTAGTAGCTGGCTGAACATGGCCGAAGTTTTTCCTTTTTTAAAGTGAGGAAAGTTTTCGATACTCAGTGAATAATCATTAACGGGGAAGTGTCAAGTAAAGCATTCTTAAATTGAATTTTTCGAATTAAGAAAAAATTCTCGTGGATCTAGTAGCTATGAAATGAACTTCGTTGAAGAATAAAAGACTATGGCCATAAAGTCTGTCCATAAACATGTAACGAAATCTTCATAACCTGCACGAGAATTTTATTGAATTTGAATGGCGATATTTATTGTCAACAATAAGCAATAAGGCTTAATATATTTCTACTAATTTACTAATATTTCTACTAATAATTTAAGAAAAATTCTTTTTTTAAGAATCCTCACCATTACTAGTTAAACCCGCTCCACTGGCTTGTCGCCTTGGGAAGTATGCCATGGAGTCCTTTGGCGATAGAAATTCAGATGAATCGCCAGCATCACCTGGGTTTTTATACAGGTTTACTCCTGCGAGAAATCGAACTTGAGCGCTCCCAATTGAGCAACAACCCACTGAGCCATTCTATCCTCAATTTAGAAAAAAATAAGGCAATCATATTAATAATTTCACATTCTGTGATATCTTCGGCTTCTGTAGTATTTTTCTATCGAAGGCCCGGTATAACTCGTCGATTTATCTCTTCTAATATCATTTATAATTCTTGGCATGTCCAGATATTCTGGGTTGTCAATGTTACTATTTTTTCTTTATTCTCAGTAAAAAGTTTTGTGAATCTCAATCGAATAAAATATATTCCATTGCCCTGTAGTACATATCATTCGGCTGTAGTGTGCTGTAGTTGTAACGCACTTCCACATTAAAATTAATTGTAATCCAAAATAGTTTAACGAAGAAAGATAACTTTATCATCACACTACTTATTTTATTCATTGAATTATTTATTTATCGGTGTTTTTTGGAATGATTTTTTTTCATTTTTGGTTGTTTTATGTCGAATATTTTCCTTAAATTTGCATATCTGGAGAAAATTAGCAGTCGCGAATGTTTTTTGTATTGTCCTATATTTTCTAGGCAATTTCCTAACACGATTGGATTGGACATCATTGTTTTATTAGCAAGATGGGAGCGAGTGAAACAAATTTGCTGGCCTTATTGCCAAAAGATTTTGTTAAATTTGTTTCATCAGTAAAGTGGACAGAGCGTCGTGATGTGCTTCAATGTTTCCTTGATAATCTGGCTCATTCATCAAGATTAAATACGGAAATCAATTACATTGAACTCATGAACGAGCTTAAAAAAGTAAATTTTGCGGCTAAAAGCTTTTTTCTATTTTATGTACAATAATCTGACTTAGTAGAATTATTTTTTTAATCAGCTACGATATTATTTAATAAGCTGATAAGACTTTCTAAAAGAAATTATTTTTTTTTATATATTTTTGTATTGTCCATGTATTCTTTAGATCATCATGAAAGATTCGAACGTAATAGTTATAAGCTTAGCGATTCGGGTGCTAACAGCGATTGTAAGAGGGTTGCAAGGAAAAGCTTCAGCTTATATTTCACTGGTAAATTTCATTTGCATTTTAATTTTTTCAATTCTTGAATGTCTTTTAAGTACAAGTTTATTATCCTTTTATCAAAGAAATTATAAATTTATTTATAAATTTATTTAAATCATTAAATTTTTAATTTAGATATTGGTCCCACTGTTAGAAAAATTTAAAGAGAGAAAAGCTATGATTAATTGTGCTATTACCGAATGCATCGATGAAATCGGCTTTTTTGTAAATTTTATTCTATTAATTAATTTATGTAAGTATTGATTTGAAGAATTTACTTATTAGAAAATCTCGTTTAAAATTGGCAAAAAAGTCGTAGAATTAAGTTGTTGTAGATGTTAAATGTTATAAATGTTAGTTAAGAATTTGTTTCCCGAACCAAGAACTAAAATAGAATGATGAAATTGGTCATGAAAGTGATAGGGTTCATTTAACAACATCTAGGAAAGGAGAATAGCAGTGGTATTTTTCTTGGCTTTTTAATGTTAAAGAAAGTGGTAAGGTAATTTAGATATTAGAATTACATTTTGCATTTAGAATTTGTTTTTTCTTGTTTTTTATCTCAAAAAATTTTTCAGTGCAATGCGAATTTTTTATTTAGTTCAATTTGTAATGTTTTGGATAATACACAAAATCCCACTGTAAAGGCTGAAATTGATCACTGGATTTATAGAATTTTATTAAATTACGATAAAGACAGGATTCCCTTCGACTTCATTGAAAAAATTGCACCATATTTGATACAGGTATATGCTATTTCATTACCATCTTTATTTTTTAAAATTCATTTGAAAACCGGATTCATCATTCCTTATTTCTTTTGTTAAAATATTAAGATAGAAATATTGATTTTGTTAGTTTGCTAAAAAAATCCGAAATTTTAGCATGGCAGTAATGGCAGTTCTGCTGTGCGCAATGGATGTTTTATGGCTTTTGGTGGGATAATTCGTTTGATTGGTGATCAGGCAACCATGGCCATAGCGAGTGTTCTGTTTGCTGATAAAAAGAAAATAATCAAAATGTACAGTTTTTGTGAAAAGGCTGCTGAAGAATTTGCAAAACTAGAGCAAATGAAAAATTCAATTGTAGAAAAGAATTCTAAAAATAATTCGAAGGATGAAGAATCATTTAGTGAAAACAAGGTTTATAATTTTCGTTAAAATAGAGTTAATGAAATAAAGTCCTTAAAAATGCCATAAAAAATTTTTTTTTGAGGAGAACAGTAGAATGGACTCGGACAGAAATGCAACTGATTTTGATCCGTGGGAGATGTTACCAGAGACTAACATTGTTCTTCGCAACGACTTTGATACACTATTGAGTTCTAGACAGTGGAAGGAGCGTAAGGAAGCGCTCGAGGTAATAAAAAAGTTGTATTCTTTGAGTAGGAATGTGGCTTATCATGCTTTTTCTTTATTCTTTTCCCTTATTTGGTGGCTTTTTTCCAGTTTTTATTTCTTGGTCCATTTTTGTTATTTTTTATGTTATATTTTATTTTTTATGTTATATAGAGTCTTCTGGAAGTATTGGATCAAAATCCTCGATTAAATCCCGGTGATGACTACCAACCTTTAATTAAATCTCTTTCTTCGGTATTTTTTTTCATTTGTTTTTTTACATGAAATTTTTTCAGATTTATTTTAGATATTTCCCAGTTTTTTTTGTAATTATTTGCCTTAATTTATTCAGGAATAAAAATTTTTCTTTATGAGCTTATTGTCTTAGAATCATTCGTTTTTTTTTAAAGGTTATTGCAAATGATGTGAATATTAATGTTCTCGCACTTGCTATAAGAAGTGTGGCGAAGATAGCTCAGGCACTTCGATATAAATTTTCCTCTCTTACACCAAAGGTTTATGAATAAATTTGTCGTAATTTATCAATCATCAATCAATAATTAATTTCTTTTCTACTAGTTTACCCATTTATATATGTCTATATATTATCTAAATAGATTTTTTTTAAAAAAAATTTTTTCGATAACTCGATGCGGATTTTCAAATTTAACTAATTTATACTATTAATTATCTTCAGATAATGGAGATATTGCTGGAAAAGTTCAAAGAAAAGAAGGTTATTTTACGAGAACCACTAATAGAATGTATTGACTATTTGTCCTTGATAGTAAGTTTTTTTATGAATGGATGTTCATTTTTTTCAGATTTAATTTTAAATGTTGAGAATATAATGGTAATAGATTTTTCTTAAATTCTTAATTTCATTTCGAATATACGGTGACAATGATTTATGAGGATTCATTTGTCAAATCTTTTATTTCTCCAATATATTGATATCTTAGTTGTTTACTGACATCATTACTACTATTGAATGCTAAAGTTATATTATTCAAACGCTATTTTTAGACGCCTTTATCACTATATGTCAGAAGCGTAGAAGATGCGTTAAAAAAAGAAAATCCTCAAATTAGGATGCAAACCGCTTTGTTCATTGCAAGACTATTTAGACAACACAGTAGGCAGACTTTACCTTCCATTGAATTAAAAATTATTGCTCCACCTTTACTTCAAGTTGGTTTTTGAATTTTGCTTCAGTTTTCCGTTCTAATTCGTTCTAATTCTTTCTAATTCTTTTTTAATTCTTTCTATTTCTAATTCTTTTTTTTCCATGATTTATTTTTATTTTTTATTTCCTTCATTGTTTTTGAAGCATCGAAATAGTAAGCCATTTATCACTTATTACATTTCTTTGAATATTTTAGATATTTTAGCTTGCATTTGATTCGAATGTCGATTGCCGTGATGCATCTTATTCAGCTATCGGTGCTGTTATGAAATCAATTGGTGAGAAAGATGTTGGTTTATTATTCAGTGGTGTCCTTGAGGATTCCATCAAATATCTTAAGGTCCGATGGCCTAATTAATTTTATTTAGAAGTACTTTATTTTTAATTCTTTATTTTTTTATCCTTATACCATTAATTATTTTTAATAAAGCAGGTTATAATATTGGTCGCGATATACATTTATTTCAGATTAAAGAACAATGTGACAATTTTTTAAAAGAATTTGGTTGCTGTGAAAGTAAAGCTATCTTACGTTTATCAAAAATTGATGTAGAGAATAACTCAGGTAATGGCAGTTCTGATATATTAGTGAAAAATATTACATTAAAGCCAAATACTAACGCCAAATACATCAGAAAAAAGGTTTTTATTTATTATATTATATAATTTATTATATTGTTTGTGAAATATTCACTGTGTATCTCAATTTTTAGCTGCAATTTTTTAATAGTTTAAGCGTTTCGATTAAAACATCCACACATTTTTGCGATAAATGCTTTATGAAAAACTTTCATTTGTCGCTTGAAAGTACTTAGATAGAAATAGAAATAAAGTCTGGTTTGGCCATTGTTATTCGAAACATATGTATTTTTTTGCAATTTATCTATAGGATTCTGGGTTCTTTCTTCCAAAAACAGTTCCAAGATCAATTTTAAATTCAACTGCATCTCACAATTTTCATTTTTTTTCAAATCAAATTTCGAAACTTTCGGACTCATCAAGATTAATTGAGGCTAATAGGCCGTTCACTTCAAGTTCGTTGTATTTTTCTTTAGTTTTTTTTTTTTTTTAATAGAAAATTTTGTTGAAACTTTGAAAATTCTCGTTAATGGTTGGAAGAATTGATCGTAAATCGCTTATCGAATTCATTCTGGAAATTGAATTGAGCTAAATTTTTCTTTTATTTATTTTCTGGAATATTTTTCTTCTTTCGTAATTTTGTTTTATTTTCGTGATTTTATTTCAGTTTTCATTTTTTTTTAGGTAGAAATAAACAGACCTTTCCATTAAACTGTGGTATTGTTAAAGAGAATATCAGATCTACTATCACATTATCTAGCAACAACTGGCAAGAAACAAGGCATCTTAATACCACTACCTCAGTAAAAATTGTTTGTTTAATATCATTATTGCATTGGATTTTTTAGATTTAAATTGTTTAGAACTGGATTTTATAAAAATGAATATATTTTCAGTCGCAACTAGTAAAGCATATCGCTGTCGAAAGAAGTCAAACGATGCAGAATAGGCTTGTACGTAGTCGCCCATATGCACCAGGGAGTAAAATCCCAAGACTTTGTTAAAAATTGCAAATATTCAATATCCATATCCTTTTTGTATCTCGATTTTCATTTTCAATAAATATATTTTTTATTGAACAAGTGATTATTGAACGAATTATCTTATCTTTTTTTTCAAATTTTTGATTTATTTATTTAAAAGAATTTGGTTGCTGTGAAAGTAAAGCTATCTTACGTTTTTGATTTAGATTAACTTAAAGTTTAGTGTTTTCCACATGACTCGAAAATCATAAGCTAAAAAAAATTGATTAAATATTTCTATGCAGTTTTATTAGCAACTTAAAATTTCACCAGTGCATATAAATGAATATTTATGTTGCTTCGGTTTGAGTAAAGTAAATCCATGTGGTATTCCAACGAAAAGATCATTGGTAGTCATTGATCGGATAGATCAAAAATAGTGAATTTCAATAGAAAAATAAAAAAATACCACTTCTTCTAACAGCTCTCACTGGTTAGGCTGGCTCCAACGGCTACAAGGGTAAGACGCTTCCAAGCGGCCCGGTCTGATGCCATCGTCGACAGTAATGGAAGCCATTCCTTTTTCCATCGTCTAAGTCCATATATTGCTGGTCCATCTATACGTTCAAAATCTTTTCTCACCGTATCAGTCCAGATCTTGATTGGCCCACCTCGCTTTTATTTACATTGATCCTGAGTCCGATCCTTGCTGCAGTTTCTGATACGTTATTTAGTATTACTTACATTTCGTTATAACTGTCAGCAAAAAGGACTACATCATCAGCGTATTCGAGATCTGTGATACGATGCTCTGGACTAATTCGGACAGTCACCTCTTGAGTGCCGATAAGCAATGTCCATTATCCAGTCTATCGCAAAGTTGAATATTGTGGGAGAAAGGACGCAGCCCTGACGGACACCTGTTCTTATTTCGAAGGAATCTGTCAGCTCCCCATATACACAGACCTGCGCCGACGTGCTCTCATAAAATGCCTTTATGAGTCTAATGATTTTCTCTGGAACACCGTCACGTCACCCTCACCCTCCAAAGCGCCGCTCTATCAATTGAATCAAAGGCAGCCGCAAAGTCGATGAAACACGTGACAGTGGGTTGCAAATATTTAAGCGATGTTCCAATACCCTCCTTAACGTGAATATCTGGTAAGCACAACCGCGCACTGGTCTGAAACCAGCTTGATTAGGGCGCATCCTGCTGTCTTGTATTTCCATAAGTTTTCCATAAGTCTGTTGAGTAGCAGGGAAGCAAAAATTTTTGCTGAGACGTCTAATAGGCTGATTCCTTGATAATTGTCGCAACATGTCCTATCACCTTTTTTGAGAATTGGGAGCAGAACTGCTTTGCTCCAATCATCTGGTAATATTTCTTTTTCCCATACCAGAGAGTATATTTGTTGAAGGTGTGTTATGAAGGACGATGGACAACATTTAAAGAGTTCAGCCCGAAGACCATCCTCTACCGTCGTCTTATTGGGCTTAGGCTTATAGATAATTATAGATATTATTTCTTCTTCTCTCGGGGGCTCGCACTTGCAAGCATATAGTTCAGCGAACGTATCAGTTAAATCAGGGGCAACAGTTGGCGATTCATGGTTAAGTTTGGCCTTAAAGAATTCTTTCCATCTTATGAGGCGATCCTTAATACTTTTAATTAGTACGCCATTGTTGTCTCTTACCATTTCACTGATCGTTCCCCGAGTCATAGTTGCTTTATGAAGAAGGCAGAATAGTTTTCTATTGTCGTCCAATCGAGCCGTCGCCTCCATTCTTGAGGCCATGTCATTCCAATAGAAATTTCTGTCCCGCCTTGCTGCTTTCGTTGCAAATCTTCGAAATATCCGGTAGTCAGGATCAGCTAACATTCGTGCCTTGGCAGCTTTTTCAGACGATTGGACAGTTGCTTCCGATACCCAACTAGCGCACTTCCTATTAGTATGCCCTAGCGTGGAAGTGGCTGATTTTCGGAGACATTCCTTTAGTTTGCACCAGTATTCATTTGCCGTTCCAAAGAAATCATTGATATTTGTATCATTGAGATGCATCAATAATTCAGTTTGAAATGCGCTCACTGTCCCCGAATTTTTTAGTTTTAGTTTGAGGTAGTTGAAAGAGCTTGGGGGATGCTGTTTTCGGCGAGTTGTCAATTTTATGCGGATCTTGGCTCGAACCATAACATGGTCAGATCCATGAAGATTGCCCGTTTCAACTCCGCGATAGGAACGACTATCTAGTACGGAACTCTTCAACGGCAATTGACTAAGATATAATCAATCTGGTTGAAGTGTTGGTCGTCCGGGGAGTTCCACGTGACTAGATGCTTTTTATGATGCCGGAAGCAAGTATTAATAACAAAAAGTTCATGCTCTTCGGCATAACGAAGAAGACGTTCCCCATTGGCACACCGATCTCCGATGCCATATTTGCCAATTGTTGAGGTCATCGCAGCTGCATTATGACCTACGCGAGCATTCCAGTCTCCCCCGATTATGATCATGTCATGTTTCGGTAGAGACTTTGTTAGCAGTTGAAGTTCCGCATAGAACTTGTCTTTATCACGGTCACCTGCCGACAGCGTTGGAGCATAGACACTGATGACCGAGATATTGCAGAACTTATCCTTAAAATGGGCATAGGCCATACGGCCGTTAACTGGTTTCCACTCAATCAAAGCGGAATGGGCCTTGTCAGACATGACAATCGCTACGCCATTTCTTCCCGAATTATTCGAAGCACCACAGTGATATAGCCAGTATCTCTGCTCTGAACCAGGATTAATAACTTCTCGAGACCCAAAATGACGAAGATGGACCTCTGACAAGCAAGCGATATCCACACGATACTTAGACAGGGTGTGGACAGTGATCGCTTGGCTTGCAACGTCCATAAGCGTTCTAACGTTCCACGCTGATACGGCTAATACCTCGCCGCGCGTGTAGAGGTATTAGCCGTTCCCTTTCTTGATAGGTTTCGAGCAATACCTTGGCTTGTTTTATTTATCATCCTTGGGATCGTTTTAAGCCCGGATTGTAAACTTATCGCATGTACCACCGGGTTCGAAGTACATGCGCGTCGGGAGACGCTGACGCCGTATCAAATGTATCTGACCCTTTCACCATAGAGTCACTTGGGGATAGAGTTACAGGTGGGTCCCCAGCAGCCACCCGGATTTTTGACATAATAGCAGGTTTACTCCTGCCAAAGACAAAAAAAAAAAAAAAAAAAAAAATTAAAAGTTCAAGAGAACTTAGCTGAACGTAGCTGAATTGTTACCAGAAATAATTTCCAAGTAAAAACAAAATAAATTGAGAATAGTTTCTTAATCGAGAAAAAAATACCACATGGATTAGATAATTAAAACTATTTCTTCGATTCAAATTTATCCATGTTCATTTCAAATATAGCCAGTGAGATTGAGTGGTTGATGTCTAGAAGCCTTCTGTTTCTCTACATTTTTTTGCACAGGGCACATTTTATCTAATCTACCAATTGTACGAAGTCTTATAGTAGTTTTCACCATTTTTCAAGTCATACATCACAGGAATTATTGCTTATCTCGCTGTTTAATGAGCCATATAACAAATGGTGCCAAAAGCAAGAATCAAGATGGGCTTACATTCAGGTAAGGTTTTGAATACATAACAACCCAAGAATATACGGTGGAAAAAGGAATGATTCAGTTAATTTATGATATCAGATCGAGAGGTTTCTTTTAAAAAAGTTTGCAAATCATCAGTGGAGCCAACTAATCCAACAGTGCGAACTCTTAGAAAAAATATTTGCTTTGAAGTGGAAGTTGTCAAAATCAAACATAAATGTTGCATAGTGGCGGTCAATTAATGATCAATCCTGATTATTTACTCAAGGATTCGTATGTAATGATAAATACTGATGGTAGGCTTCCGTGGAGAAGCAAAAACTGAAAAAAAAACTGAAAAAACTGAACTTTTGAGATCTTGAAAAGTACACAGAAGTTGACTAAATTGCAATGGAGAAGGGGACTTTATTTCTCTGCTGTGAACCGCTTATTATCATCGAAATTGCATTCAACTCTATGTATTATTAGGAATGAGCACGGTTGGTCGGGATGGTTGAAAGAAGAGCTGACGCAGTAACAAACCAGTCCAATGTGACTGAAAGATACTGTGAGGTAAAGTCCCTGGACCAAAGGCCGAAAGGGTTGTCGCCAGTAGTAGGTGGAACCGGCAGAAAACAGCGGTGAAGGTCAAGATAGCTAGTTTGAGCCGCAAACCGCGTAAAGTTGGATGTCGTCACAAGCACAGTGTAATGCTCGGTAAATGAACAGAACAGGGCTTATTTGCAAACCACCCTTAAATTTTCTGCTTAGGAATCACAAAAAATTTGTGGGTGAAGGCGTGAGGAACCAACACCGATTTTTATGCCTTATTTTACCAATGATGATTGTAAAATCAGTGACTAAAAATAATTTTAAATGGTTTATTAATATAATAAATCTTTGCGTGCAAGCATATTGAAGGAAAATAATGTAGTTCAAGTACAGAACGTGAAAATCATCGTAAGGTACTTGCGTGTGAAAAAATACTTTCGAAATAATAAACGAACAAATAAAATTTAACAAAAAAAATGATTCAATAATTATTTATATTCCAATTATTAATTCACAATAATTACATGACAAATGCATAAACCAGTAGCAAAATCAGTCAAGGCTCCTTATCAACTGGGTGCCCTCAACACGTATTAAAAATTTTAAAAGATGTCATGCCATTGATAATCACTTTACTAACATAAATATAAACGGAAAACTCCTCTTATGAAAAATATCCAGTTTAATGGCCATGATCAATAATATATGATATGCAATAAATAAGCAGGTTTTAAAAAAGCTGCACTGATAAAAAATGGATACTGTATAAGAGTCCTGCGAAAATTGTTTCGAAATTGTTCGCTTCAGAATCCATATTTTTATAACTTTATAAATTACATTTCATATCCTGCTTGAAATTAAACATATATTTAAATATTTTCATATAATATGAATAAATGAATAAATATTAATAATAAATGAATTAATATTAATATTTAAATCTATCACTTGGAGAAACAAAAACAATTTCAAACAAAAAATGAATCTAACCTCCCGAGGTGAACTGTTTCAGAATAAACTCCTTTCATTCGAATTATTTCTTCACGAAATTTTTTGTCCAATATTTCAGCACAATTGTATATTGGTGAGCCTTTTGGATTAAACATTCGAGCATTATCAAAGATCTGTGATATATCAGCTATGAAATCACTTAGATATTCGTATCCCAATTCCTTCATCTTATTATAAACATCAGAAAGTGCTGAAAAAAAGTTGAATGTTAAAAAAACGTTATATGCGCATATAGTCCGCTTCAATTTTTATAAAGGATTAAGTCTTGGGTGCGTGCCCATTGTTAAGGCTAATTGAATGTTAAAATTCAGCATTTTCTTGTTAATGCAAATTATGAAAACGACAAACCCATGGGTTTCTTTATAACTTGATAGTAGTTAGGGTATTTTTTCTGATCAACCGGTTCCCTGAACGGCCAACTATTACGATGTTTGAAAAGCAATTCATAAATCCGCAATAAATGTTTATAATCTCCTCGATGTAGCTGTATAGACGAATTTACAGAAAAATTCGATTCAGAACTGTTATGGGTATTGTTAATACACTTCGGACATAAGTACTCGCTAATCTTCGTCACTTCCCTTAAAGCTATATAGATTATATCTATATAATACTAAATAAAAATCCAGGTATTTTTACAAATACAATATCCAAAAAATATGTAAATATCCAAAAATAATGGTTATTATAAGTAAAAACTGACATTTGAGTCGTTCCGACACATTCCGGATGAAACCAGCCTTGACAACCATCACACCCAACGTAAAACCGCTTATCATCATAAGGTGTTTTGCAAACACAATATATTTCCTTCAAAAAAATGTCACTTATAATTATGCAACTCTCGTTAAATTTAGATAAAATTACATGCAAATACTGAATTCAAACACTGATTTTTTTAAATGGTTTTAAAATATTTTCATCGGTCTTTTTCAGATTTTATATAATTTCACTTTTTCCTTCATTAAAAATTTCTCGAACAAAAAACTTTAAAATACTAGAAACATAATCGTAATACCTGATCGCTCTTTTGCTCATTAACACAATCGTTACACGACCAATCAGACATTTTCTTCGACTGTTTTTCAGTGATTTTAACGCATCGCCCATGAAACCAACGATTACATATGTCGCACCTTATGTAAAATCTGAAAAAGACCGATGAAAATATTTTACAAACCATTCCAAAAAACCAAAAAAACCTAGATTAAAAGTGCTGGGGCTAAAATACATACTTCTTGGGATCATATGGCTGATTACACAAACAGTGATTCGCGTTGGGATCAATCTTATCATTTTCTTCAGCAGTTGAAGCCCTTCTTGTAGATCCACTATTTCTTTCAATTGTTGGTTTTGCTTCTATTTGTTTTCTCTTCCTACGCAACGAAATTCTTGGCTCTGAATTCTGCGCATGTGGATCGAACCCATCTTCAATCACTGATTCCTGAGCACATACATAAATGACATAAAAGTTTTATCAATATATATTCCAAAGTATCTTGTGGAAATTAATGTCAAAGTTAAAGAGTCACTCAATAATTTCTTTAAATATCTTCGTATATACCTCTTTTTTATCCGTTAGCTGAAAGCATACTGTGGAAGCAGAACATCTGGAACCTTGGGCAGCACCAGCAACTGAAGCATTTGAAAGGCATTGGCCTTTATTTGGCTCAAGCGATGTATATTTTTGATCTAACAATAACGCAATATTGGATGAAACAAGGTTAGTCGGTTTCGATGATGAACCACTCACTTTTTCCTTCTATAACAAAATTGAAAAAATAAAAACAAGACTAATTAGAAAATAATCAACTTACAGCTCATAATGATTTTAAAAGAACCTTTTCACGAACTTTAATATGTAAATGAGGTCTCTGGCCAACTCGTACAAGCGATATTTCACTCGGGTCCACAGGACCAACAGCTATCGATTCTGGATGTAGACCACGGGTACGCCGATTTTCTAGAAAAAAAAAATTAAAATAAAATCCTATTCCAACGCATGCAGAAAATTTTCAAACTAAAAGTACTTTCGAGAGACCGGATAAAGCTGGAATTTATAAATAAGGATCTTTGATAATAAAAAAATTTTGCAGGTTATTCTAAAACGATAAAAAAATGCCACACAATAAATCTATTTTTAACTAAACACCTACTAAATTTTGGCAATAATCTCACTCTTTTTTTGACTTCCCCTCGGTTTTTGATATAATTCAGATAGATATTCTGCTTTCGCTTGTTCTATAAGCTTTATCCGGGCTTTTATGCACCGATTCTGAACTCGATCAAGCAGCTCACCTAACGTAACATCGAAATGTTCACTAGTTGCTGTTTCTGCACTAATCGGACTGAAACAAAAATCTTTATCTTTTAAGTCTAATCTTCATCTTTATCTTAAAAAACTTTACATAAACATTAAAAAACTGGTATTTCAGTCAATAACACTAATATTACTTTATAGCACTGATAATGATATCAGTAATATTTAATATGCAAATGTCAAAAAAAAATAATGTAAATAAATTGGTAAATAAATAAAAAAAATAATGTAAATAAGACTTTACATAAACACTAAAACATTAAAAAACTGGTATTTCAGTCAATAACACTAATATTACTTTATAGCACTGACAATGATATCAGTAATATTTAATAGGCAATAAGCAAATGTCAAAAAAAAATAATGTAAATAAATTGGTGATACAGGAGTCTACTATGTATAAAAAACCAACTAATTCAAGAGATGCAGATACTTTTCTTCAACCTGAACCATATGTGGTTTTTTGATGCAACGGGCTTTATACCAATCCGACTGCCTGTCCCATGTGCAAATTTTTGACACTATGCGTTCTAGCACCTAAAATCTTTATCGACTGATAAAATTTTAAACATTTAAAAAAAAAGAGAAAATTATGAATAAATTTTTTCCATTTATTCCCATATTTTCTATACATTTATGATATTATATAATACTTCGACCTTTCTAATTTATAAATTTTTAAAATGATAATCAACTGAATAAGCTACCTCTTTACAAACTTGCTGAATAATAGCTTGTTCAGAAACGCAATCGGATTCAGAAATTATGTTTAGAGATTGTTTAAAACCACTCTTCGCATCGCAATTTTCTTTTTCTAGAAATGAAAAGTTAAGTTGTGCGTGCAAGTGCCACTATTTCTAGTGAAATTAATTTCATTTACTAATGAAAAATTTGGGCTAGAAAGTCAGTTGGCTATAGAAGTACAAGTCCTACTCCTGCCAGAAGCAATATCCTGATGCTTAAGATAATTTTAGCATTTCAACCATTCAGATATACTATCTCTTTTATTATCTCGAGAAGAGAATCTGAAACTTTTTCAACTACAACTTATGCAAGGATTCATTTTAAGCTCAAAAATCTAAAAAATTAAAGAACTATTTCTGATATTTCAGAACAATAAACAAAACACCATATGAATGAGAATTTAAGATAGAATGAGAAACTATTTACCTTTTCTCTGAGTTTGAAGATAATAACTTTGACTCGATTCCGGTTCCAACAAATCATCTTCAGGCAATTCAAAGAAAGCCCTTTCAGAATGTAATCCAGATAGAGATAAACATTGCCCTTCATACGACTTACTGAATTAAAAAAAAATGAAGAGTCTTATTAAAAATAAAAAAACCGAAAAAAGGTACCTGTGACCTCCAGATACGAGTAAATCACTTTTCATTCCCTCGATTCGACGACTCTGCAACTTTTTGATATACTTCTTCGGAAGTATGGAAGTAATTAATCCACTTTCAAATGAACTATTTTAGCAACCAACCTTATTATGATTTTCCCTTTCAGACATTGCTGCAGTTCGATGATGGACAATAATTGATGAAGCCGAGTTTGATGGATTATCTACATTTTGATATCGATGATCGTTGGCAAAAGATGGGCCTAAATGAGCTTGATTGCTTCGACCAGAATAGCGGGAGTTAGCAAACACTCGAGTCTGTGATGTATGCACGCCGTATCTAAAAATGACTGATAGAGAATTCTTTCATATTTCTTCTCTATTAAACAATATTAAAAAAATTTTTGGCTCACCTTGTAGATATTAAGGAGTGATCAGGATGCTTTACAGGTGCTAATACATTACTCCGGATCGTTCCACCATCTTTAACATCCTTATGCCCACCACCATGGTTCCCGTAAATTCCGCTTTCGACACGTCGACGTATATTCAAATTCTAAATATTATGCATTTGAAAATAAATTTAGAAAGAGGCATCATTATTACTAAAAAATCATTAAAATGAGAATTTAAATAAATTATAGCGCCAGATAATATTATTTTACATGCATGGTTATTTAAAAATCATATGACATAACTAACATAGCTCTCAGGATGAGGATTCGTGAGGTCCGGAACACCACTGAGAGTTTTTTCGGTTGCCATTCTCTTCATAAAAGGATCTTCATCAATAATATCGCGTTCATTATTAAGATTCGAAAATCGGGTGGATTGATGCGAATAAGTTCGATCTGGAGCAATTCCTGGACGAATTGCATCCCTTGTCTAAAAAATGCTAGGTACAATTTCATTTCATGAGTTGGCAATTCATCCGCCCTGTTTAAGGAAATTAAGATAAAGACGGATTAAATCCTTGAATTTTGTTCTGTCCCGAATTAAGAAGCCAAAAAAAATCTATTTTTTTGAAGCAAAGAACAAATCTCCAAACTTTAAAAGTGCGAAAATTATAAAAAAAAATTATTCACAGAAACTCGAACGAATCTAGTGGAAGGACTAGTCGGCAACTGAAATCTCATTGTAGTTTCATTAAGAGGAGACTGGGCCATTCCTAAATCAAATCGTTTTAGTTTTAGTTATATGTAGATCGATACTTTTTTTTAATACTTACTTTTTCGGAAATATTTAAATTGCGAATTTACAAAAAGTACGAATAAATTAAAAATAAAATAATAAGCGAAGACATTAAACATAAAGGTCATGAATACCGGCATGATCAGTAAGACTACCAATGGCCAGATTTCTTTGAGACTGAATCTTTATATTACGTATATTTGGAGAAAGTGAAGAATCCAAACTGCATGGACCACAATCATTAGATACCTAAAATAATTTTTTTGGATTTGGAAATTTGCGGAAAACAATTCACTTATAAATAGAAATAATGGTAATATTTTCAATCGCTCACAGATGTTGGTTTCATTATTGCACGTGCAATTATATGTCCATCTTGCTGGGGAATCTGTGAAACTGGCCGTATAAAATGCATATTGCCATCCGACCGTCTGATCATAAACAATTTCGCACTTGCAAAAGGCTAGAAAAATATACCGCAAATGAAAAAATAAAAATTTAAAAATTGAAAAGAATTAGGAAGAACCTTTGTTTTACTTTTAAAAACCAAATGAAATTAAGAAAAACTAAAAAGTTAAAATTATTAATTTTTTATGGAAATCAATGAAAAAAATCAGCTAAATTGTTTGATTTTATGCTAACAGGGATGAAAGAAAAGTAATAAGCGACAGATATTCAATCTCTAGAAAACACAATAATAAAATAGAAAAGTAAATGAAAATGAAAAAGAATAGAAAAAAAACAGTGGATGGCCTGTGGACACCAGCAGATGCTGTGTAAACATTTGGTGAAGATCGATGTTGTTGTTGAATTTGACCACTACTGTAACGAGATGATCCTGGAGTTACAGATTGCCTTACAAGTGGTTGGTCGATGCGTGCACTTCGAGACGAGTCACTCGAATAAACAACGACACGCTGCATACCTCCATCATGACGCTAAGAAGAAAATAGAGAAATAATCTTCGTCATTGTTTTAAAAAAATTCTCAATCCATAACCTTTGAGACTTACTTTCATTAAAGTGATCTTTCCTCCACCTATTAATTCTCCACTTCTTTTTGGAACAATAGATCTGAATCGTAGGTTACTTTCTCCGAAATTTTGATTGCAATATCGCGGTAATTTCTCGTAAAAACTGCAAAAAAATTTAATTTATGAATCTAAAACAAAATTTATTTCCCATCACCACTCGAATACCAGAATTATTTGGAAAACCTTATAATTAAAATTAAAACTGGACTTTTTTTCTCGGCATCTTTAAAAAGATAAAGCAAACCAATAAATTGAAATAAATCGGCTGTCTACTGGATGAACCTATGGAAATTAGGCAATAGCATCATGAAAAACATTTTCAAGGCAAAAAACAAATTTTCGACCACAGTTGCTACAATGAATTACTTAGACTTAATATATTTTCGAAATCACTAAACTTCAATAACAATTCAACATCCTGATAATTTATCATATAATCAACCATTTGTTAGAACTAGATCGCTAGCGAAAAGAATCTCATCCTTGTAGTTAATAAAGTCATAAAAAACAAAAAGTGCATTACGTTAAAAGAGATAAATAAGTCAAAAAGAATTAATTTTACTTTAAATATTATTTTGAAATTTTTATAGTCTATAGTTTGTAATATCTACAGAAATATGCTAATCAAATTTCCACAATGATTTGAGAATTATATCACCAAACTTAATAAAAAAAATATTTGACAAATCACTATTTTCCTTTAAAAATGAATGATGCAGATCGTACCACATCGGAGTTACTCGTCTTTTTTCTCTGCTTCTTCCTTCCTCATCATCATCATCATCATCATCCTCATCCTCATTATCATCCACTTCGCAATTATAATCACCGTCAAAAACTTTCGTCAAAATTCGTTTCCTATTAATGAGTGGTGAATTGTTATAAGGGACATGAGAACGCAAAGGATTAAGCGATACTCGAGCTGTAAAAAAAAAAATATTTCGGGCAAAATCCCCAATGCCAACAGAAATATGCATATTATACATGCATATAATGCATGATATTCATAAATAATTGATCCCACGAATAATATATCATCTTGGCTCCATTATCTAAAACTCAATCTGTAGAACTAAAAAAAAAAGACCTAAAAAGCTTGTATTGCAAATTTAGCCCAAACAATCAGCGGATTGTGGAAGAAAATGTTTCCCATATCTAATGTAATTTTCCCTATGTTTTTAAAAAATTTTAAAAAAAAATTGAACGAAATTATGCTTCCTAACATCCATTTTAAATCATATTTTCTGAAGCAAAATTTTCATCGATTAAAATTTAAGTATTTTATAGAGTGCCAATTCTTTATTTTCAACCTTTGTAATCCCAGTTTATAATGTAACGTATTGTCTTTTCAAATAAAAACTGTGGTAAGAATTTTGCAAAATCCCCAACAGAAATATGCATATTATACATGCATATAATGCATGATATTCATAAATAAGTCTTAAATAAAATAAATATAATTTAAAATAAATTAATTTAAAATAAATTTAAACATATACACGAGAAATGAGACACTGGCATTAAAGGATAATTTGCATTCTGTTCCACTTTTTTCCAATAATTTATGATTTCCCACAGCTTTAGATCGACACCATCAATCCATTTCTCAATTACTTTTACTTTTTTATAAATATTCATTCCATCTGCACCAGCAACTTTATGTTTCGTTGATTTTCGTTTCCGCATATCTAATAATATCGACCAATATTCTTTTAATAATCCCTTTCGATAAATGAAAAATAATATAGTAATATTTCGATAGTAATAAATTTTTTTAATTTTTTCTTAATGCAAATGCAAAATGCAAAATACTTCTACTGATATCACTTTGACGACTGGGTCGATACTGGTCCTCCTCACGACCACTTTCTTCAGAAATATCATTGCTGTCATCGAGTGGTAATAACTGTACTTGCAATTTGTATTGCTCATACGAACCATCAGGAGGCCACTCTTTATGACCAATTACATTGCGAACTTCATCGTAATCTGGATGATGTATTGTTACACATATATCCTAAAAAAACAAACATAAGAGCATAAATTTTTATGAAAAATTAATATTTCTATAACCGAACTTTCACAAACAATATCTTAACTCTCATGAGTAAAATCTCAGATTTTGGTACAGTAACTGGTAAAAATTTGATTTTGACCTTTGCACTAAGGATCTTCCAAAATATTAACGTTATTACAGAGTATTTTCGAAAAGAAATTTGCAACTTTCTTATTCAAAATGTTTAGACTAATTTCTAATTTGACACTAAAAAATTCCTTTTTCACCACTTATACCATTTTATAATGTTATTTAGTAGTTAACATTATTCTCAACGGCTCAACGAGTTATTGAAGCTTGACGAGTTATTGATCCGTGATATGAATCTTCCTCAACCTTGGATTCTCTACCAGAAGTCTAAAAATTACCTCTGAAGGATCACGTTCCATATCAGCCCATCTAATACAAGCATAAAGGATGCGCAACTGTAGAGCAATAGCGTGATAAGACGGTGCGCGTAATGTCAAATATCTAAAAGGTTTACCACAGATTCAATTCAAAAAAATTCTAAACCAATTAGCTGTGCCAAAAACGCGCAATCTGGATTAAAAAATCATTTACTTCCAACAGTGATCAAATAATGGTCGATAACATGGATAATTCCACACTTGGCTATTGCTTTTCGCTGTTCTATTGAATCCAGGCACAACATATGAAGAATTAAGACCACCTTGACGAGCTAATCGTTTCAATATTCTGAAATTAAAGATAAAGGATAATGAATGAGTAAAAATAAATGAAAAATATAAAAAAAGGAAAAGAAATACCTCTGAGGTAGGACTAAAAGGCTTTGGGCTCCAGTTCGTCGAACACGAAAATCATGTTGAGTAGGAAAAGGGAAAGGTTTGCTCAAACCCAATTCCGTATCTACTTCAATTTCTTTAATATGAGGAGAATAAGCATGCACGACATCTTCGGAATGAAGATCTAGAAATAAATTAAATGAAATATTATTTTTCAAAAAATAAAATTTAAAATCAAAAAATAAAATAAAATTCATAAAATAAAATCTCTTTAAACTTCGATACCTAATTCTGCTCTTTTTTGTCTGCAAAAGAAGCTATAACATTGTCGCAGTGATATATTGCGATTATGTTTGCATATATCGGAAAATTCAAGGCGACAAGAAGGCGAATAACAAACAAATTTTGATCTAAAATAAATGATGAGAAAAACAATATTAACCGAAAATTCGAAGGAATGGGCCATTTTATTTATGAATATTCACGATTTTCATATTCTTTCTTTTCACAATGTGTGCAAGCTTATTTCAAAAGAAAAATTAACATCAAAAATATTAAAAATTTATTAAAATTTATTTAAATTTAACGGAATTTATTAAAATTTATGTACATACTTCAATTCAGCAGCTATTCGCCAATTCGTAATTTTTTTTATAATTGTTTCTAATCGAACTGCTTTTTTGTCGGCGATAGAAGTATGCTTAACATTGTTAATATATATTTATAACAGTTATTTCTAAATTATTAAATTTCTAAATTTCTAAGAAAATCAAATTTAACAAAAGAAATATTAAGAAATATTTACAAAGGAGATATGAAAATACGAATGAAATAAAAATTATGAAATGCTAACCTCTGATATTTGATCGATCAAATAAATTTCTTTTGTAGGCTTGATGGGCAAAGGAAGAAATCTTCGGACAAGCGTACTCGACACCCATAGCCATCCGCCAAGAGCACCACGACCATTAATCCGAAACTGCTCGTCTTTTTGACGCCATAAAGAATGGCGATGAGTAATACGAGTTCGCACATATTTTACCCATATAACATCTGATTCCTCATCCGCATCCGCGGATAATAATTCCTAATAAACAATTCCTGATTATATGCAAATGAGCAAATGTCAACAGAAATAGAAATAATTCGCCAATAACAATATAATCAATCAATCAAATCAAATAGTCAATATAATATTCAAATATTCATTATTCAATCTTCATATGGATGTAAAATCTAATAATCCTTTAATCAAAAATATAACTGTTTAAATAGTCCAGATAATACAAACAAACCCGCTCTGCTTTTTTTTTTCGTTGTTCCATTTTTAGACGCCGTTCACGATCATCAGCAGTTATCCGGATGAGCCTTGTGTGACCGAGCGTTCCCCACCAAACACTGGACAAAGCTGGTCGTCTTATACCACATTCCAATACCAATAACGCATTTTTTAAAGTATCAATCGTTGCTATCGGTGTCTGATACTTTAAAATCATTTGGAATAATAAAAAAAAAACAATATAAACAAAGAAAATTCTGTTGCTAAAATTGAAAAAATCCTGAACAAATGCGATAGCAAAAAAACCTTTCTGAATTGCAATAATCCATCTTTCCTCCAGAGACGATGCATTAATGTTGATGGAATTTTTGTCGCCACTTTGTTGATAGTATTTTGAATAACAAGACCAACTGAAGACATTGAATTTGTATGCTCGAAACTTTTAGGTATGTTCCACTGAAAAAAAAAAAATGGATTACGAAAATTCAAGGAATAGATAATTTTTATTTATATCCATAGTAACAAACTGAAGTTTACTGAAATAAAATGCAGCATTCTCGAACTGAATCAGTATAAAACCTCGAAATGAATCAGTATAAAAAAGAAATATAAACTTACCTCGAATGCATGTTCATCTGCCAAAGAGAATCTCCCACACATATATTTTTTTTTGTCACGCTCCTTGGCACGTAAATGGGGCCTTTTCGCATAATCATTGATACTGTATTGATTATCATATTGCTTAACTTGTCTATCATCGCCAATTCGGAAACCTCGCTTTAGCTTTAGGATATTTTTGTAACCATCTATCACAGATGCAACTGTTTTTTGAACTTCTTCATTTTCCAATTTTGAACGGATATTTTCAGCTATACGAAAATGGTTTACATAGATCAAACTGAAAATGAAAATAAAAAAGCAATCCAAAAAATACCGCTAAGTCCGTTGCTCCAAAATGTATCCACAAGATAACCACATCGAAAACCAAGCACATCTTCCAATGCTGAGAATAAAACTGGTCGACTTATTTCAACCTGAAATTTTGCAGGAATTCATGACATACCTACTAATATATGATTTTTAAATTTCTTATTAATTTAATGCCGACACGAGACAAAAAATCACTGAATCATCGATCTTAATACAATCGACAAAAAATAAGGAAAACAGGGATATGATACTTACCACCCTAACACTATCAACTGGATTGATTTTTTCTTCAGACGAATTATGCGGCTTTTCCGTAAACGGTTTATTCAAAATTCCGTTCAAAATCCTCACTAAATTCAAATTTATACATAAATTTATATTCCAAACTAATACTATCTCTTAATATTAGTTTCATAAATTTTTTCATAAAAAATTATATTCTAAATAAAAACAACGAGAACAATAAAAACAATTACATCAAAATAAAAACAACAAGAATGCAAATTGATAATCCAAATAATATGGGTAGCGGACTTATGTTTTAAAACCTATAATTTTTAGTGGTTCCCTCGCGAAAAGGTTTTATCCTAATAGCCAATGAAGCCGACCAAACTAAAAATGTTATAAGGAAATTCGAACAATTATCAAAGAAAAGTGAATTATCCAATATGAGCATTTTACAAAGATATTTTAAAAATTTACAGTTTTCTGCAACCAAATATGGATCCGTTTTTGTTTGATTTCTTTCGTTCGTAAGTTCCATTGTGATACGCATCTGACTACTAATTTCATGTAAACGATCAAAAATTGCTGTTGCAAGATGTTTTTCGAAATCATCTACTGCCAGCAGATTAATTACCTCATATAATTGCGGTAAGGTGCTATAATATACAACTGTTCCATTAATATCATCTTCCCTGAAAGTGAATGAAATTTCAAAGTGAATTTCAAAATTTCAAGATAATTTCAAAATGAAAAAAAAGTGGCACCATACACAAATATCCGTCGAACCAAAAACCAGTAGCGACGTCCATGACGATCATAACCGATCGGTGTTAATCGCAAAGGTTGTCGTAGATGTTTGAATTCAGCTGAATTGATACCAGTCACTCCCCGCACCTAAAAATTTCATAAACCACATTTTTTAAATATTTGGAATATAAACGGTAAAAAAAATTAATTAAAATGAATTACTTGGTGTAAAATACAAATCTGACAGAACCATTCCCCATCTGGCACAGAAAGAAGATTAGCACATTGCAGATGATAACAAGCTTCACATCCATCACACAGAAGTACATCACCAGGTTTACCACATTCTCGACAGTGTTCATCAGACTATAAGACAAATAGGATCAATGAACTGCACCGTATACTTCTCGAAAAGAAATTTCGCTGAAGATGAAGATGAAAAAAACTTACTAAAATTTTTCCTTCATTTCGTACGATATTTTTATATTCTAACGAATGCAAAAACCTATCGCATAACCATGATAAAACAATAAGCCGCCGTTTAACTGATACAAAAGGATAATTACCGCTAGCTGCTTTCAATACTTCTGAAGGAAAGCGAAGCGGATCACTTTCAAGATATTGCCGTAATACCTAATAATGTAAATTTTAACGAAAACATAAAAGAAAATCAGAAAGAAAGAAAATTTGCCGACGGGGAAGATTTAAATGATCGCCGAATTATTTACAAAATATGATGGCCAACGCCTTACTGTTTTTTCATTTTCTTCATTGCTGGTTTGGCTCGCTCCGTTGGCTTATCGGATCAGATAAATTTTGCAAAGAAGTCAATAGAATAGAATCGCCAATATCACCCGTATTTTTGAAGGATAGATTTACATTTACTCTTACCGTAGTAAAAACCTCAGTATTAACGCTCCAAAACTTTGCTGACCCATTCTCTTTCCCCACCCCCCGCACCTCCATCCTACTGTATATTAGAACAAAGTAAAAAGAAAGAATATGCAACTTTTACTCCAGTTATTACGATGGTCAAAATCAAAAGTCCCTCGTTTCATTTCTGATAGCGGGTAAACAAAAATTGTAAACAAAAATTGTAAAAATTGTAAAATTGTAAACAAAAATTAAACTAATGATACACATCAAGCAATATGGTACTCGACTTTTCTCGTTCTTTTAGTTAAAAATATTTGAACAAAATTACCTCAGCATAAGTCATCGGTTCAATTAATTGTATCATGATATTAAAACTATTATTTGTATCCTGAACTGATAATAATATTTGATCATCCTCATCATCTTTCAGCGCTAATTTAAGAAGCGCTATATGAATTTCGGCGAGTAAATTCGTTTGCTCTTCCGCTTGCAAAGCTGCACAGAAATCTTCAAACAAAAATGGTGATATTCGGACGGAACGATAATAACATCGACAAGTTTCATATACCTGAATGGCACTATTATAGTACATATAAGTCATTCTGGATACTGATTTGTTGGCTAAAACATATAAATCTGGCAAAAGAAATATAACTGGGTACAAATGACATCTGAATTTTTTTAAAGACAAATTTGCTCTGAACTTTGTTAAAACAAAGCTTTTGCCTTCTACTATCTGAATCTAAATATTGCATTGTACACATCATAAAAATCAATACTGTTATAAACAACAGTAATATTATGTAAAAAAAATTCTTAACTATGCATTATTTTTGCGCTTGTATATAAGCAATTTCTGCGAACATAAAATAAAAATATTTGCTATAAATTTCGATTCTTTAGGAATTTCTTCACTTTCAGAATTTTTTCATATCGCTGTTTTGCAAAATTTATGATTTTTAATTGATAATTTATAAGAAAAAATCTACCAAAACCTCTAATGCATCAAAAAGATAATGCGAATGAATAAGAAGATCACAACTGCTGCTTGGTAATTCTAATTTTGGCAATTTTTCAGCAGCTATTTCAATCCAAGGACAAACTGAAACTTTATTTTTTCCATAAATTTCAAATAATTTTTGGCAAGGAACAATAAAAAGATGGAAAGAAAATTTGTTGAATAAAAAAATATAAAAATTTCAAATGAACTAACTAGGAATTTCAGCATGAGCACATGCCGATGTTGAAGGAGTCGAATCCAGTTCTGTTCCACTAGTATCATCTTCACCATCTGTTCCATCAATATCTATAATTTTGATTGATTTCCTTAAATTAAAACTTCAGTAAATTTCTGCCAAAAAAACAATATTCCTTATTAGCTAAATGCTTAAATATTGTTTGCTGAAAACAAATATAAGAAGGATACAACGTGATACAATATAAATTGATATTTTATTGCATTTCTTTACATTAAATTTTGCTAACACCGTTCCACTGTGTTATTTTTGATTTTACGTTATTTCCGAGAAAATGGCCAAGTTAGCACCACTACTTCGATCCAATATTGATATATACAATTAGTACTGTCTAAAATAAATTCATTTAACATGGCAATGCAACCTGATAAAATTCCTTCACTATCAGAAGCAGATGTTTCAGAGAGAAAATCAGGACGATCTTCTTCCTCGCTATCTTCCCATGGATATTTTGAACTGTAAATTTCTTATTAAAAAATTATATAATAATAATTGTTGATCTTTGAAATTAAATTAATTAAAATTAATAAAAATAAAATGAAAATAACAACAGAAATGAAAAATATAAACGAACCTATTTGTATAAACTTTTTGCCTCCATGAAGACGAATTCTTTGATTGATTTTTTGTATTTACCGCATCGGATTTTATTTGACGTCCACAACGTTTGACAGTAGAAATTGATTTAGTACCACGCGTTGACGTACGGCCACGTCGTCTTCCACGCGCCATTCACTTCACTACCAGTTTTCTAAGAAATCATATCTCATTTCACATATAAAATACAAAGTATTTAACAAATTTCACACCAATATTAGGCTTTAGACACTGAAAGAAAAAACAACAAATTTTCATCCACTTTGAAACGTTCTAAACGTTATTTTCATTCTGAAATTCCCATCAACTAAACTCAACACAAAAGTCAGCACAATTCGCGCAATGAAGTACGTGAAAAAAGTATGATATACGGTAGCTTCACGTATACCGTACTACTGTTAATTTAAGAACGAAATCGCATAAAACAAAAAAAAGATAAATTTGTAATTTTGTGGGATTTTTGGTTGATTTTTCCAAAAGCTTAGAGATAAAAAGACAGAAAATTCGTTGACTCGTAATATAAAGCCAAAAAGACATGGAAAAAACCGGAAAATGCAGAAATTTGAAAACGTAAAAAAAGAACAAATAAGGTCGCGACGCATCGTTCGGCAATGCGTATGTCCTCCAACGTCCACAATGATCACGTATTACGAAACCAATCGATACTCTCACACGCAACGGTACGTGAACTGAACACCCGAAACTCCCCACACTCTCCCCTACACAGCTTTTAAAATGCTTTCCAAACTTCGCGCTCTTTTCCCATCGAGAAATTCGCAAAAAATAGTACCAAATTCGGCAAAGTTTATAGAATACCGTAGCTGCCTGACAATCCTAAAACTCTTTCCATTCGCTTCAAGAATCGATGATGCGGATTTTGAGTTGCAATAGGTGTAATTTTTAAAAGTTAATTCTGCTGACTATTTAATCAGTATTTAAAACGGTTATGGTTTGGTGATGAGGGAAGTGAGGGGGAGGGAGGTGGTGGGGGGTACCGTTGAATTACAAGGGGGATGAAGGGGCCAGGCAACCAAGCGTTAATTTTGATAAAAATTCGAATTTCCCAAATCGAATTATTTCAAAAAATAATTTTAATATTTAAAAAGGAATATTTAGAAAATCAAAAGGTTTATTTAATTTTTATAATATGATTTTATAATATATATAAAAAATAAAAACCCCTTTTCCACACCCCCATGGGTGATGTCGATCGCTCTGGACCTCGACCCCTCTATCAGAAGCTTGGGCAGTTGAGAATTCAGCGCGGCATCTTAGTTGTCCCTATGCTCTTCTAAATAGAAATCTCTGGTGTTGTTTCTGGAATCTGATTGAGCCACTTGGAGAATGCAGCCTCTATCTCCTACTCCTACTGGGATCACTTTTTCTTTATTTTTCGCATATTCTCTTATTCCTCTTTCAGCTTCTGCTCTTTAGCTTTTTATATTTTTTCTGTCTATTCTTACTGGGTATTGCTTTGTCTATTACCAGTGTTAATTTCTTGTTCTTGCCTACTTCCACAATATCTGGTTGATTGGCCAGTATTTGTTTATCTGGGTGGGGAATCCCACAACTTGGTCTTATTATTCTCCCCTATTTTCTGAGGAATTCTCTCATCTAGTCCTGGGAAGGTCATAGCTATGTGCTCAGCAGAGTTGCCTGTAGGTCCACCAGGCTACTTGGTTATTGATTCAGTATGTCGTTTCTATATTATTTTAAATCCTATCATTATTTCGTTTGGACATTTTCTGAAATTTTTTTGGAGTTTGTACCTTGGGTCCTATTTGATGTAGTGGGTCTCTGGCTTCAGTGGATCTGGTCCTTAATACCGATATAATCGATGCCTCAGGATTTTTTAATTCAGTCTTTTCCAACTGCCGATTGGATTTCCCCTTGTGAAGTACTTCAATCATCCAATGGTACTTCCAGTGATGGATCTTGTTTTGCTGTTTTATATTTCTGTTTGGTCTTTCTCCAATGTCTGTTGATGCTTTAGGCGTTATCTCATTCCTTTGGTGCTGTTTTGCTATTTTTGAATGCTTCAAGTTTAGTTTAAAACAGTGGTTTTGATGCTCGCAAAGCCCTATTCGCCCTTCCTGGTGGTGCACAAACTTTTGGGTATTAGGCTCGGAGTGGAAATTTCCGTGTATTATGAATTTGGCCATTTCATTATGATGACTGGCATAGCCTACATGTTTATGGCGTGGATTTTTCTCATTGAGCAAGTTGTTGAAGATTTGCCTTAATCTTTGGTAGTATTTGGATGTTGCTTTCTTTTCATTTTCTTTGTGTGACTATTGACTGTTAAGCTATTTGTAGCTAGTCTGCTATATGTCCTTCTGGTCCACTTTATCAGCCCTGACTACTTTCCCTTTCTTTATTACCATCTGGCCACATTTCATCTCAATATCTTTGCTGTAGATTCGTGTGAGAAGAATGGAGTAATGAGAGTCAATGTCTCGTTTAGCATAATTTGATGTCATCCATGTAGAGAAGATAGCTGATAGTAATTTCGTTTTCTTGAATTTCAATCCGCTTCCTATGTTTATCTACCTGAGGGGGTTTAGTTTTAAGCAGAATAATAGCGAGGACAATGTCTTACATTGATATGCTGCGCTTGATAGCCACAGTGTAGACTGTTTTGAGTTGACTTCAAGTGTTATTCTCTACCGTCCCATTGAGTTCTTGTAGAAGGTCTTTAAGATCCAGTTGATTTGGTATGGGACCAGAAATTCATGTGAAGCATCGAGTCATAAGCTTTCGTATATCAGTCTAAGCTTCACAGATTGGTCTGTTATGACGAAGTTTTAAGCGATTGCTTTATCTATGAGCAGCTTGCATTTTGAGCCTCTGGTGTTGTTTCCAGTGCCGTTTTGAATTGCACTCATATACAAGCTTATATAGTTTTGTAATTTGACGCCATGAAGCCTTGATATTTTTCACGATTTGGGGAGGCAGGTATTGGCTGGTATTTGGTCGGTGTTATTCTTTCATCTAGGTTGCTAGGTGTTAAAATTTTTGGCTAGTAGGTTCAGATCATGTACGGACTATTATGACCGGATTATGACCAGGCATTGCCCAGCTTTTAATAGAACAAAATTCACTGCGATTGAAATTAAACCCTGGATGGTTTCTTTAAGAACAGGGCATTTATTTTTTTGGTTTTGCTTCTCTAGTCTATCTTTTTAGCCTGGTGACCAGTGCTATAATAAGCCTTTGGCAGTCTCCAGTGTTTTTGATGGAGTGGAGCCTTTGAATTTTTGTAACAGTCGTTCTTTTGTTTCTTCTTCTTCTTACAGGTTTTGCCCAGTCCAACACCATCGCTAGTAGAAGCCATTCCTTTTTCCATCGTTTAAGTCCATATATCAGTGGTCCCCCTATTCGTCCAAAATCTTTCCTGACTGTTTCAGTCCAGATCTTGATTGGCCCACCTCGCTTTTGACGCCATCCATCACACGGTTTAGCAAGTAACGAAATATGCGACAATTCTTCTGGTGGATGTTGGCCTAATTACCAAAGGCGACGTGATAACATTATAATGCAAGTGGTATTTGAACGAAGATGGATGCGATCATGTGATATTTTATCCGCTCGACGTAAAATATACCTTAGACAAGAATGGTCAAAGGCTAATAGGCTAATATCTACTTTCATTGATCATGTTTCTCAACCATATAGCAAGATCAAACCAGCTATATGGACGCGGATTTTCGTTTTTATGGTGATCTCGCGGCGGTTCCATAAAGATTTCATCAACCGGAAAAACAATTCCAGCTGCCGTTATCCGGGTTACGATTTCATCCTTTGCCTGGTCAATTGGGGTTAGAGTGGATCCAAAGTATTTAAAGGCCAGCACTTCCTCAACTGGCACTGAATTGAGTTGATAGGTATTTTATCATCATCTTGTATATAAGACGAAAATCTTTCGTTTTATTTGCATTGATTTTGAGTCCAATTCTCGCTGCAGTTGTTGATACATTGTTTAACATTGTTTATTTGCATTTCCTCATAACTGTCAGCAAAAAGGGCTACATCATCAACGTATTCTAGGTCTGTAATGCTATGTTCTGGACTGATTTGCCCACCTTTTGAGTGACAAGCCGACAAGCGATGCCCATTATCCAGTCTATCGCATAGTTGAATATTATGGGGGAAAGGACACCAGTTTTTATTTCAAAGAGATCTGTCAGTTTCCCATACGCACAGACTTGCGCCACGTATATTGATAAAATGTCTTTATGAGCCGAATGATCTTCTCTAGAACATTCCATTCCATCACCGTCACATTCCATCACTTTCCAGAGCGCTGATCCATCAATCGAATCGAAAGCAGCTGCGAAATCGATAAAGCAGTTCGCCAGCTGATTAACTTCTCTACGTTGTGCCAATATTATTCTCTAGTCTTTATTCTCTAATTACTTTTATTGCTGTTCTTCTTGTATTCTATATCCAGCAT